CCACTGAGAGAATGCATTATATCGCGAAGACAGTCGTGCTTTGTCTTTTCGATCACCTTGGTAAGCTTGTCGGGGCCTTCCATGTGGTACGTCCGGATGGTCGACGTGTTTGACAGTGTGTAAAGCAGATTCCTGGTATTGTCAATGACGATGTCAACGATGTATTCTGTCGTCTTGCTGCCCCAGAGAAGCGCTTGTGGTCCTTTTGTGTATGGTACGACCGAAGTCCAGCCCGTGGTCGAGTGATTGATCTTGCCGGTTCTGTTGGAAAACCACTTTTCCTCCTGCTGATAGTATAACTCATAGATATCACTATCGTTGGATCCGGCGAAAAAGATTCTTCCGTTTTCGGCGCCGGCAATGACATGAGCCTCCGTACCCCGAAGAGAGAACTGCATTCTCGTCTGGTAGAGGGTAACCATTGTTGCGCCATTGGGAGCAGACTGGGCTGCAACACCGAGTAAGAACATGTCGGCCGAGGTTGCGATCACCAGCATGTAATTGATCTCTTTGACGAAAACACCAGGCTTCGGGGCCACGAGCTTGACCGAGGTAATGCTGTGTTCGTTGTCCTCATAACCAATGAGCTCGGGATTCGGGTGGGTGTAGTCCCAGAGGTATAAACAGTTGTCGACAGTCACCCAAGCATGGTTCAGTTCAGCAAACAAACCCATGCTCGTAGAGACCTCTGCTCTCTCGTATTGCTCGAATACTCTATCGGGAAGGGTGTACACTTGCGTGACCTTGAAAGGCGAGAGAGTGGTGTCGGATGGTCGGCTGTAGTCAGAGGACATCTCTGTGAATTCATCTTGTCAGCACCTGGCCATGGCTGGGAGATGAGAGTCTACTCACGCTTGCAATATTGCTCCAGCTCCGGATATTGCCTGTCCGCAGCCAAAGCGTTATTGACATAGGCAGCGGCCTTGGCCAATGGCGATTGGGGAGGCGCGGCAGCAGCAGTCGCGAGAACTTGTCCTCCTGCTCCCCCTACCGGTTGTCCCAATGGCTGCAGCGCCTGCTGAGGCCCCGTGGGCGCATCAAAGCCCGAGTCTCCAAAGCCGGTCATCTGGCCGGCGGCGGGATTCGAGGCATCCTCGAACAAGCGGCGTCGCAAAGGGTCTGGGTTCGCGCCGAATCTGGAGGCAACTGCCGGTGTGTGCATGAAGGCGCCGGGCACAGGGCGCATCGGGGTGGCCTGCGGGTAAGCCATGGTGGTGGGCGATGTATGTCGTGGCTGCGTGTCTCAATAGCCTCGATCGAAATCGACCTCGCAATTCAGCACAGGGCTTTAAAAGGAATGTTGAAGGGCCTAGTGATGCGGCCCAGGCACCAAAAATCGTGGGTTACCGGGGCATCCAAAGAGAACAATCGAAGGCACTCGTAGGCAGCAGAGAGGGGAATTGGATGAAGCTGGAGAAGCTTCTCACGAGTCGTCGAGTCGGTAACAAGAAAAGACCCCCGTCGCTCGATGCGCGTCGTGGAAGGTGGGTTGTGTTGTTTCGTCTCACTACGATTTCGAGCTACGGAGCTCGAGCCCGGTGTTGATATGGGAGGCTGGAAATTTTTGGGAAGCTTGGACGCGACTTTCCGCCTTGTCTCTTTAGGTCCAACCAGATGGAGCTGGGAGCTGGGCAAAAAAGCTGGGAGCTCTCTCAGTATCCGAGATCGCCAATTGCGCTAAGCCCATTTGAGCTCACTTTATTTCGACGTGAACATGGCAGCTCGTGAACATGGCAGCTTGCATTGTGCATGTGGTACTCGAGGTTTTCTCCTCACGATTTGCCTATGAAAGAATGTGCGGCAGAATATTTTGATAATCATAATTCGTTCGCATTTCAGCGCATATTTCCAATGCACCATGCCGTGATGGTTTTGTCGGAATACTAGTAGTATCCTCCGTTAATTCAAGCAACCTGCTTCATCATCATTGTATCTCCGTATTGAAGTTTTCAAAGTAGGATATATCTACAAACACATGGGTTTGAGCTGGGTCAGATAGTTGTTGGTTTGCAATTGCGAAGAGATATACGCCATCTCCAATTGTATAGACAATTTCAGAACACGTACTACCACCAGTTCTAGTTTGACACGAATCTACTGCTTCTTGGCATCGCGAGCGGCCTTGCGCAGAGCTCTGTTGCGGATGTCAACGTGCGTCGACAGGTTGTATGACCGCAGCAATCGGCTGCCAGTTCCCAGGAAAGTCTCTGCGGCCCAGACCATCACGGCATGACTCCACCATGGGGTGTAGGTGTCCGGCATGAACATCCAGCCTCCAGTGCCGGTCTTGCTCAGAGCAGCTCGGACAAAGGGCTTGGGGCTGGGGACGAGCAGATTCGGGCGGCGGATCTTGGACATGGCGGTGGTGACCAGGTGCGACAGGCAAAGCTGGACATCGACGTTGCTCGACTTGAGCTCGGCAGCCAGGGCAGAAGACCAGTGCTGGAGGAACGCCTTGGATCCGGAGTAGGTTGCGAGGTAGGGGAGAGGAGCCCAACCACCGGTGGATCCCATGGTGAGGATGAGACCCTTCTTGCGAGACTGCATACCGGGGGCGACAACCTGAGTGACCTTCAGAGTTCCAAGGCAGTTGATGGTGATGATATCCTGCAGCACCTTCGTCTCCGTCTGGAGGAAAGGAACCGGGATGCTGTGGGATTGTCCAACGTTGTTGATGAGAATGCCCACGTCCAAGCCATCGATCAGCTTCCTCAGGGACTCGTAGTCTTCGTCTCTGTCGGCGCTGAAGTCCATAGCCAGGATCTTTGTCTGTAGGCCGGCGTTGTTCGACTCGAGTTCGGCGGCGATGGCCTCGAGTTTTGACTGGGTGCGGGAAACGAGGACGAGGTTGAAGCCCTTGGCGGCCAGCTGCGTCGCATACTCTTTACCGAGGCCATCAGATGCGCCAGTGACAACAGCCCAGGTGCCCTTCTTGCCATATTTACGGAGCTGTAGACGACATCAGTATAGGTTCTTCCACGGCTGAACCAGTTTGCAGCCAGACATATAGTGGCTTACGTTGTTGCCGCTCAAGACAAAGATGTTGAGCAGGAATCGCAGGTAACCGAGGACATGACTGCCCAAGTATAGAGCACCGACTCCGGCCAAAGCCAATTGGACAGGCTGCGGCACGTTGGCCACAATCTCGTTGAAGTTGGTCATGCTGTGTGCGCTGAACGGACTGAGAAGCCTCTTTTTCGATGCCGGCCAATTTGTTCTGCTTGAAGCTGCGCGAGCCAAAACGAAACGAAATCGAATCTGTAGCTGGGCCAAAAAAGTTGGAGAGCTAGCTCCAGGTATGCACATGTGGTCGACCCCTGAGCTGAGCAGCAGGGGTAAGCTTAAGTGCCGCGCCGGCCGCAAGACCGGAGACGCGCCAAAGCCCGTCGCCAGATTTCCTTGTGACCACCAGTTTGGATTTAATCCAGACCACCTCCCAACACAAAAAGCTGGTGCCTACACGCCTCAATTGGGACACCAGAGCTGTTTATCATTTCCTTGCAAACGTCACAAATCTCTAGAATTCTTGCGCGTCATCTTGCGAGCCAATTGGATCAGACATGGACGCTCTCAAGTCTTACCTCCCGGCTGGTGAAGGCTACCTGCCATGGTACATGTTCGGTGTAAGTGTTCTCTCTCCCTTGCGGGTATTCTCAGTGCAAAGCGACTGACCTTTCTTGTTCAGCTCTCGGTGATCGCAGTCGGCAATTCTCTGCAGAACTACCTGACCCTACACTACACGAGACGCTTCTACAATGGCCGATTCATCGCGAACCCGTCCCTTGGTCCTCAAACCCCTACTTTCGTCCCCGAAGACGCCACCAACAAGCTCATTCCTGCCGGCGACGTCAAATTGAAGCCCGGCAGCACGACCGTTGACCAGGTCACGCCGTTGGCGGCCCGCCTCTTTGCCACTTACACCCTGATCTCGGCGATCGTGAGGATATACGCCAGCTTCCACCTGGACAAGGAGCCCGTATACATGATGGCCATGTGGACGTACCTCGTGGCACTCGGCCACTTTATTAGCGAGGGTGTCGTCTACAGGACTTTCCATATCACGGGCCCTCAGCTGTTCCCTTTGGTTCTTGCAACCGTCGGAACAACATGGATGGTTATGCAGAAGGACTTCTACGTTCACATTTATTAGAATGGGCAATGGCTCCAATAGAGAGCCAAATCTTTTTTTAAAAAAAAAATAACAGTAATAAATATTCAGGCTCTCTGTATCGACCGCACTGTGGTGGCTATGTCGGTCTTGCTCGACATTTCTGCATATTTAGTAATGTGTCTATCAACTGGACAGAGCATTTGTTGTTGAGTGGCTGCTTAATTATCTGCTCCCAACGGCCTTTCAAAGATGGGCATAGACTCTTTTCGATTCGACATCGAAGACTTTACAGAGAACATGTCTTATCTTCACAGGGAGAAAATGATGTTCTTTTAGTCTGCCAAGCTTGAGCTTTCTCAATATTGCAATTTTTGATCCCATGGTTCCTTACTGCAGACTTGATAAATGGAGTTGTCTCCCATATATTGTCTCCAAGTATAACAACGTAATTTCTTTGAACAAGTACTCACTCTATTGAGGTTTTTTGACCTGTGTAGTCTCTATGCAGTGCTGCTATAGACGTGTACTAGCAGCATAAGTTCATGATGATATACTCCTTCCAGGCTATTCTTTCACAGCCATGATACAGTTGTCACTCGGTGTTTAACTCCACGTTTACGTTTGGATGCCCCGTAATACAAATTCTAGTCATACTAGTACTCTGTACATAGTTATGTATCGCCGTCAGTGGATGCTCCTCATATATGCCATCATCAGTCCCCCTCTCCAATCCTCAACCACCCCCGTCCCCATCCCCGTCATCCCATCTCTCGACCACGACGACATCATCCCGCGTACCAGACCCCCGTTTGGCTCCGTTTCTAGCTCCGTTTCCAACGCCTCTTGTACCGTTCTAAACGCAGTACCTTCCAACAGAAACAGCACTTACGGTTGAGTGGTGTAGTGGTAACACGCTGACTTGCAATACATTATTTCTTGGAGGTGGTTCCTTGGTACCTATCACGGGCTTATCCTGGGCTATCACGGGTCTTATCTGCACTATAGTCAGAACCGGAGGTTCGAATCCTCCTTCGACCGTTCATTTTTGCCTTTTTTTGAGGGTTGTTTGTCCTCTTCGAACCTCATATCTTTGTGTACATATTTATTTCTACCACAAACGCGCAGAGCTGAGGGAGGAGTCGATTCCTCTCTGGGCCATTTTTTGTCTTCTTTTTTCTCTCTTTGCACTCTGACGAAGTCTTGAAATTAAATGTCAATCTTTGTATTCTATTTTGACATGCTCACACGGAGACACTCTTCTCTCCTCTGGTTTCGTTGTATTTGACATTATTAAAGAGCTATGTATCATCGACCTCGATGGCGCCGGTAGAGTGGTACACAAAGGTGAAAGCAGCCAGTCTCTGACGGAGAGTGTCCATGCCTGGATTTATTACAAATTCGTACGATTCTACGGACGCGACACAACAGGCAAGACACTGCTATGCTTCTTGGGATTATATTGGATGCCATTTTATATACACACTCCTCGCCGATACTCCTCGCTCCACGCCCGCCGAAGACAACAAACACAGTTGGACTGCCGCTTTACAGCTTCTTTCTGTACAGCTCTCCACCGCAGTCTCTCAGTCTAGCTGCCGCCTGCTCGGGAGTGATGTCACGCTGGGGCTCAGCCATCAACTCGTAGCCGACCAGGAACTTCTTGACGGTGGCCGATCTCAGCAGAGGCGGGTAGAAGTGCATGTGCAGATAACTGTTCTCGACCTCTTCGGCAGTGCCATCGAGGGGTGCCTGGTGGATTCCAGAGCTATAAGGGAAGCTGGTCTCGAACAAGTTGTCGTAACGTCTGGTGACCTCGTGGATGGCCTCGGCGAACTTGAGGCGCTCGTCGGCAGTCAGGTCAACGAGAGCGCGAACATGGCGCTTGGGGATGACCATGACCTCGAAGGGCCACACGGCCCACCACGGGCAGACAACTAGGAAGGCATCGTTCTGCCAGACAATACGCTCCTTCTTCTCCATCTCCAGCTTTACGTAGTCGCCGAGCAAGTGTCGACCCTTGTGCTCGGAGCGGTACTTGATCATCTGGACAGACTCGGCGGCCGGTTCCTCGGGCAGCGTGCTGGTCGTCCAAACCTGGCAGTGCGGGTGGGGGTTCGAGCAGCCCATGGCCGCGCCCTTGTTCTCGAAGATCTGCATGTAGCGGAGCTGCTCCTTTGGCGGTGGTGGCATGAGATCTGACGACAAATCGTGGGACAACAGGTCGAGCTTGGAGGCGACTTCGGCCAAGGGGTTCTTGGACGAGAGATGGGAGGCGTAGATTCGAGTCCACATGTTAATGATGGGAAGAGTCTCGGCCGGTGTCATGTCGGGTAGCGTGAGGTGGTGCTTTGGCGAGAACGTCAGGACGTAGCACTTGCCCTTGACGCCCTCGGCACGGAGGAGGAGAGAGGAGAGGTCTGAATTGGATTAGCATGGTACTTGTCGCATTCGCTGTGTGATCATACCATCGCCTGTAGTCTCGGCCGAATAATCAGCTTGCTCCTCCTTGACCGCGCTGTAATCGTTGACAAAGGCAAAGTTCTCCTTGTAATCTGGATTTTGCTCTCCGCCGGCTCTGGAGTTTCGGGGGCACAGGTAACACTGCCAAGTTTAGCAGTCGAACGGCAACCACCACGTATTGGGGCCGCTTACTTTGGGGTCGTACTCCGGCAGATCATTGACACCGGGACCTTCCTGGGCGCCTCTGTTGTTGAGCTGTATTAGCGAAAGGAAGTCGTAAGTTCTTCTTCAAAGACATACTGCCATGGGCGCTTCGTCCGGTGAGGCGAGACCAGTAACCACGATCCCCTCAAGGGATTGTACCGTCGATGGGAGATATCGTCGAGGACCTTGTCTGGCATGGTGGGCTATTTGGGAGCCAGTGACGCTTGCTGTTGTAGTGATGAGGCAGGCTAAGGGATAGAACGAGCAGACCCTCGACTATACCAAAAAGAAGGAGAATATAAGCTTCTAGGTATGACTAGGTAGTAGTTAAATATTGACCTTGTTCTAGAATCATGACAGGATAGCTGTTGCGAACCCACCTTCGATCCGCGTCCGGGCCGGAGAATGGCGGGGTATTGGCATCTTTTGCAGGGGAAATCGGCGGGGTTGCTCGCTTAGAATTGGGCCGCTTAAATTTAAGTCAATATAAACTGTTTACATTATGGATCAGAGAAACAAAAAATTGCGCAGTCACATGTTGTCGTTTGTAGGTTTCGCACACAAGTTTCCGATAGGCTATGACGTATTGGGCTGCAGCTCCGGCGGGCGGCTCGAAGCACATAGATCGCGCTCGGTGTATTGAGCGAACTACGGCAAGGTGACAGGCGGTGCCTGCGGACGTCGATGCAGCGAATCCACAAAGCTAACATTGGATGGCGTTCGACTATCTGTCACAGTCCGACTGGCATCTAGTGCTTCGTTCTCTGAGTGCGTTGGTGGTTTATGCAGTCCTTACAAGATGATTCGAGGTCACTTGGATCAGCGGCATGCATCATTATAATCATGATTCTGAGCGCGTATCGCGTGTCATTCACTACTCCATGGTAAGCAGGATGACAGACTTCCAATCCTTACAGAGGTCGTGATGATTCAACCCGGTATCCTCATGCTCTCCGATGGTCTTCACGCCCCTGTATTGAGTGAAAATATCATTCCACTCAGCCAGAAGCCGAGGCTGGTCGTGTAGCAAATCTTCAATCATTTTTGCGTGACATGGCTCCTCAATGCTGACCATTCGAGGCAGATCATACTCTGCGAGTCGCGACCATGCTGTCGGCCCGAGAGCCAGGCGTCGTTCAACGACGGATATGGAATCGACCTCTCTGCCACGACAGTACAAACCCAGAAGAGTCCCCAGGGTAATGAACTTGTACTTCATACGTTGAGGTATCATCAACGTTCGGATCTCACCGTAGTAGCGATCCAAGAACCCCAAATCCAACAAAATGCTATTCTGGAGAGCTCTTGAAGTCAAATATATTTCGTCCCTGGAGGGTTCGAAACATGCCCAGACAGGCGAGCAACAGCCATTCTTATATTTGGACTGGTTCTGGAGCGGACTCTTCCAGGCTCCCATGGCTCGCCGGTCACGATGCGCATCAACGTGTCGTGCCTCGCGACACGCATGTGCGTGGGGGTATCGGGAGACTGACTTGACAACGAAGTCTAAATTGTCTCGAGACGGCTCCGGCTTGTCGATGACAAATATTCTGGATCGGCCAGGTAGAAAACCCCATATCAATAGCCGTATTTCTGTTGGCAGCTCATTGAATCGAGGAAACATTGCTAAATAGAAAGTGCCGTATTGTCGTGGAATGCTAGGTACTGTATTCGTAAGGTCTTATGCAATGGACTAATGTCAATGTCATCGAAGAGTATGTGGCATGCTGGTCTCCGGTGTTCGTGATGATGGAACAACACAAATGTGCATGGAGATGCCGAGCATAATGAGTACAGACAATCACGTGACTCGGAGGAGACCAAAAAGCTGCGCTAGCTAGCTTGGAGCTTGGAGCAGTTCAATGTTGCCTGGGTCTCCCCCAAGCTCAACTAGCGCGACGACTCCGTATTCCCGCCCGTATCGCGCAACCGCGATCGCCAACCGTCCCCTGGCAGCATCCGACATTTGACGACGTCAGTTCATCAAAACAACGGCTTTGGACAGCAGAATCTATCAGATGGGTCGCCGATTCTATTCCTAAGTCTCGAGCACTATTGAACAGGCCTCATCGCGCCCGATTTATTCACGACTGGGGTGTCCCCGCCTGCCTGGCCTCTCCTAAGCTATTGCTGCCCGTGGCCTCTAGTATTACGTCGCACAGGCGCAATGGGCGTCATTCGGAAGAAGACGGCGACAAGAGGGGGTGAAGGAGGCGTCAAATATGTCTGCGACTCATGCTCGGCGGATATCACATCGACCGTAAGTCTTTCAACCAGCTTCTCCGACCCCGATCTCACTGCTGTCGCGATTGCGACTCGGCCGGCTGCATCCCCGCGTCGACCGGGCCGACAATCGGTCGGCGCAATCCCCCATCTATCCCCACCACCATTTCCACCCCATGGTATGCTCTCCATCTGCTGTGGCGGTATCCTAACATGAGATTCCCAGGTACGAATAAGATGCGCCCACCCCGATTGCAAGGAATACGACCTGTGCGTGCAATGCTTCTCAAGCGGAGCATCCAGTGGCTCCCACCAACCGGCGACACATGCATACAAAGTTATCGAGCAGAACTCAATACCCATCTTTGATCCGGAATGGGGAGCCGACGAGGAGCTCCTGCTGTTGGAAGGATGTGAAATATACGGTCTGGGATCGTGGGCAGACATAGCCGACCATATCGGTGGTTACCGACACAAGGATGAAGTGAGAGATCACTACATCAAAACATATGTCGAATCGCCATGCTTCCCTCTGCCGAAGCGATGCCGCCCCTCGGATATGGAATTGGCGCAGGAGATCTCGCGCGAAGACTTTCAGGCCAGAAAGAAGAGACGGATCGAAGAGCGAAGGGAAGCACAAAAGAACGCTGCTCCTCTGCCGCCAAAGACCAAACCCACAGCCAGTGTCCCGTCATGTCACGAAGTCCAAGGCTACATGCCCGGTCGCCTGGAATTCGAGACGGAACACGCCAATGATGCGGAAGAAGCTGTCCAGCTTATGCAATTCGATCCCGGTGATGGCATCAATCCCAGGACCGGCGAGCTGGAGCCCGAGATGGAACTCAAGCTCACAGTGATGGATATTTACAATGCACGCCTTACCCAACGTGTAGAACGAAAGAAGGTCATCTTTGAGCACAATCTCTTGGAGTACCGTACCAACAGCAAACTCGAGAAGAACAGGACCAAGGAGGAGCGCGATCTCCTCAACAAAGCAAAACCATTTGCCAGAATGATGAATCACGACGACTTCGAGTCACTAAGCCAGGGATTGCTCGATGAACTTAATTTGCGTCAAGCTATTGCCCAGCTGCAAGACTGGAGAGGTCTTAGGATTGGCGATCTCCGGAGCGGAGAAAAATACGAGAGCG